GGGGAGAGGGGCGCTGAGGGGGCGAGGGACAAGCAGGAGCGGGAGCGTGTGCATCAAGAGGGGAGAACCGAGGATCGCGGAGGAGACAGGCGCGGCCGCCGCTAGGCCTCGCGACTGCCGGCGATTGCTTCCACGCCCTCGTTTCGCTTGCGGCCCACGGCACATCAAGTTGCGCCTGCTTCCAACACGAGCCACAATCGCTGGACGACAGACGTGGCTGCCTCACCCCCCTCCACGGGGCCGCGGCCAGCTTGACATGCGGCTGTTGTGCGCCGCCCAAACAGCTTCATGTTGCTGCCTTTCTCTGGCGTTGGCCAGCGCAGTTGAAGTGTTGTCTTGTTGTTTTGTGTTGCCAATCCCGGCGTGTTGGGCTGAGCAAGTCCAGCGTTATGCTGGAATTCGTTCGTGCTTGCAGCTGCAGCCCTGTAACCAATCAACGTGCCTGGCCGCACCTCTAGTTGTGCTGACACCTGCAGGCCCCACTTGTGCTGTGGGGAGGCCATTCCACCCCAGGAGTTTGTTTCTTTCGCAAGCAAAGGGACTTCTTCCAAGAAAACTGCTGGCAGGTTGTGCGCAGCAGGCAGCTGGCAACAGGCTGATCGCAGAAGCACCCGGGCAAAGCACGCAACACCACTGGCGCGCTCAGGAGGTGGCATATTGGTGTACTTGCCGATTGGCGGCTGCTGCTGGTCTCACTGCGGCGGAGCGCGCTAGTTACACTGCGCTGCAGCGGCGCACTGTTGGCTGCGAGGGGTGACAGACGCCCGGATAAGAGAGATCCTTTCTGTGTGATAAAAGTCGCCAATTCATCTCGATTGCATGCAGGCCGGGCCCCAAGAATCGGCCACGCGGCACCGTTCGCACCCGTCGCAACACCAGATTCCTGAGTCACGCGAATATATGCCCTTGTGCGGCGGCGACACCGTACGGCCACGGCATACTTTGCGTTTAGCACCGCTGCTGTTGTCTTAACGTTCGCAAACGCAGCACACGTGTGTGCCTGCAAGCCGTGATACTCTCCCACGGTGCGCCAGCGCGCACGCTAACAAGTGGCTTGCATGAGCATCACGCGCATCATGCCTGTGGAATTGCAAACACGTCTCAATTCGGCATTTCACTGCGCCTCCGTCTGCTCCTCCGCTGACCAGGTCCTTGATCTGGGCGCTGCTGCTCCAGGCCTCACCCGCTCGTTGGCACAATGTCGAGCCCCGCGCTCCCCCAATATGTCTGGCTGGTGGTCGTGGGCGCGTTTGGTGAGCCCATGATGAGGCATGGCCGCGACTGCGACGCGATTGCCCTCCCCCTTGCCACGGCCCAAGTAGGGTCGCGAGGGGGGTCGTCGCCACGGATGATGACTAAGCTGCATCCATAATCCCTCACTCGCATTCGGCTGCCGATCCAGCAACACCTGACCTACCCATGCCCGACGCCCAGGTGCCTTTGGTTTCGGGTGGGGGACCGGCGCAAATGACGTCGCCAACGCCTTCGCCACGTCCGTGGGCGCGAAGACGTTGACTCTGCGTCAGGTGGGGCGTGGGCCGGAGGCGCAGCGCGGCGGGCGGGAGGGAGAAGACGCTCAGCTTGGGCCCATGAGTCAGCAGCAGTGGCGTAGGTTGCATGAGCGACAGGAGCATGAGGTGGCCAGGCTGAGCGCCTGGCCTCCCTTGAAAAGCAGAGCTTCGCATGCAGGGCAGTGAGTGTGGTGTGGCCCCGGACCAGTTCCCGTGGCTGCTGCCCACGCCCTCACTGCTGAGGGACGCTCCTCTCTCAGCTTGGCCCTGACGTCCTCACCTGATCTCCAACCACCATTCATCACCAGGCCTCGCTCATCGCCGCCATCTTCGAGTTTGGTGGCGCCATGCTGCTGGGCCGCGTCGTCACCAACACCATTGCTGGTGCGCACCGCACCGCTGGCCCTCCCCCCCCTGTACGCACTCCGGATCTGGCATCCTGTTGCGCGGGCTGCTCGTCCTCGGAGTGGCCCCTAACATCAGCATGGCTGGTTGGGCAG